TGAGGGTACCATGGACTGCTAGGAAAACAAACAGATTCATCCTGGAAAGGATCAAACCGGGGGGTTCCTTGGAGGCAAGGATTCTGAGGCTCCATCTAACATACTTAGGTCATGTTGTAAGGAGGGACTGGTCCTTGGAGAGGGACATCATGCTTGGTAGGGTGGAGGGACAGCGCAGGAGGGGAAGGCCCTCTATGAGATGGATTGATTCAGTGACTGGGGCAATTGGGATGGGTGTATCAGAGATGGTGCGATTGGCACAGGACAGAGCTGAGTTTAGGGCTGTTGTACATAGGGTCACTATGAGTTGTAAGCGACTCGATTGCACATAACAGCAACAGCAGCAACATTGTACATGGTATTGCTTTTTTAGCTTCCTTTTCCAAGTTTTCTTTGTTACTGTAGAGAAGTTCCACTGATTTTTAAATATATTAATTCATCAGAGACTGGGGTAATCGGGGTGGGTGTGTCAGATCCAGTGTGATTGTCATAGGACAGAGCAGAGTTTAGGGCTATTGTACATAGGGTTGCTATGAGTTGTAAGTGACTCAACAGCACATAACAACATTGATCTCGTATCCTGCCACACTATTTAATTGGTCTACTAGGTTTATAAGTTTTTTGGTTGAGTATTTGTCTTTTCAGTATACACTATCCTCTTATCTAAATACAGTGACAGTTAGTTTTACCATGCCCATTTGGGTACCTTTTATTTTTTCCTCTTAGCTTATTGCCCTAGGAAGAACTTCCAATACAATATTCAATAAGAGTGGTGATAGAGGGCATCCTTGTCTAATCTCAATTCACAAGAGGAATGCCTAGTCTTTCTGCACTGATAATATGTTGGCTCATGGTTTTGCATATATACTTTTCAGTATCGTGAGGAAATTGCCTTTATTTCTATTTTGTTGGGTGTTTTGATAAGAAAGTGATACTGGATTTTACCAAAGGCCATTTCTGCATCAATTGATAAGATCATGTGGTTTTCTTTCTTTGCCTTGTGAATATGATGAATTAACATTGTTCTTTATATGTGATGATTGTTTTCTTATGTTAAATCATCCTTGTGTATCTGTTATAAACCCTACTTTGTCATGATTAATTCTATATTTTGCATACTGTTGCTTTCTATTGGCTGAGATTTTGTTAAGGACTTCTACCTCTAAATTCTTGAAAGATACTGGTCTGTAGTTTTCTTCTTTGGTCATGTCTTTGCCTACTTTTGGTAATAGGGTTTTGCTACCATTACAGAATCACCCTGTGAATGTCTATTCTTTTTCTATTTTTAAAAATAATTTAAGTAGTATTGGTGATAGTTCATCTCTGAATGTTTGGTAGAATTCAGCCATGAGGCCAACTTTTTGTGTGGGTGTCAGAGTCTTCCTTGGACCTGCTTAATTTCTGCATTTGTGATGAGCCTGTTCAAATTTTGTGTCACATTGTGTAGGGTGTGAGTTTATAGGGATTTTTCAATTTCCTCTAGGTTTTCATATTTATTACAGTATAACTTTTCATAACATTCCTTAATTACTAACTAATTTCAGTCATTTTTGCCACCTTTTGTGATGTCATCTCTTTCATTTCTTATTCCAGTTATTTGTCTTATTCCTGCTGCTTATATCTTCCTTTCATTTTCTTTTATTAAGTTAGTCAATGGTTTATTTATTTTGTTGACCTTTGGTCTTGTTTAATGTTTCAACTGCTTTTCTGTTTTCTATCTCCTTGATTTAAACTTTTGTTCTTATAATTTCCTTTCTTCTAAAGGCTGTGGGTTTAAATTGTTCTTTTTCTATTTCATGAAGGTGTTGAGTTAGTTCATTAGTTTTGCTTTTTTTTTCTTCTTTTCTTTTGTGTTTACCTATTGCTATGAACTTTCCCCTGAGAATTGCCTTAGCTGTACCCAGAGGTTTTAATATGTCATATTCTCAATTGTTTTGAGAAAATTTTTCATGATATTACTCTAGTTTATTAAATAAAAGTAAAAAAATTTAAAAACAATCAAGGTGTATAGCACATATTCAGACATTGTTTAAAGAGCTCCGCATATAAAGACTGGTGGAAATGTACTTTTTAAAATATGTTCTATTCTCAAGCACGTGAATGAATATGAACAAGAGCCATTTTCAAGTATCATAGAACAATAAGAAAACAATCAATTCATTTTCTTATACTTGAGTATAAAAACTTGAAACTCTCTTGTCATATATAAATAGTATCCATGCTGCAGAGAGCAAAGAGTAGTAGTCACAACCCTGAAAATAAGGGACCCCTACTTATGTAAATTGTCAGAAACCTCAATAATTGCATGTACTCTCTTCTGGATAGCAGAAAAACAAAAGGAAGATCAGATTCAGCCCTGAAAGTACTAAGAGATCTACACTGGAAAAATGTCCTTTTATTTTAAAAAATGAGTTAAAGTTTTACAATGGGTGTAAATTTCTCATCATATTGTGAATGTATACAGCATGTGAATAAACTGATGATGAAATGAATATGGTTTGCAGTAACACTTTACATGGTCTTTCAAGTTAATTTCTACTGCTTTAGTAATAATAGGTACACTTAAAGATGTTTCCTATTTTAAAAGTTCATGAAAAGCAATTCTTTGAGACTTCAAAAGTGAAAGCCTTTATGAAAAGCCAGCCCCATTATTGGAATGTTCTGGTAAGTAAATCAAGTCTCTCACCTCTGAATGTGGGCTCAACATATCAAGATAGAGCCAGAGTAGCTCAGCGCCAGGCCTCACAGGACCCTTCAGATCAGGCCATGGCGGCATCTGGACTTTTTGCCTTCTTTTTTCAGTTGCCCACAACTTTTCTTCCTCCCCTCCCCCCCCCCTTTTTCTTTTAAATGACCCTATCATAGCTCTTAATTCAGAAAATAAAATTCTGCTTCAAAAAAAAACTTATTAGAAGGAAAACAATAGTGAAGAAAGGTGAAACTCTGAGGAAAATGGTCCAATCCCAAAAAAGCCTGCAATCCTCCCTTTGTGTCTTAGAGAAAAAAAAAATCCCGAGGCTCGTAATCAGCCTTTATACACTGTACAAGTGGCTCGACTGTGAGTCCCAGGTATGACACACTCACTTTTACTTGTTTTGAGAAATTATTTAATATTTTAAATTTTGTCTATAACTCAGTCATGTTCTAGCAGACTGTTATTTAGTTTCCACATTGGTGTTTATATAGGCTTTATCCTCTTTTTATGATTTTTTTTTCATTTTATAGTACTGGCTCTGAAAAGATATTTTGTATTTTTTAAAAATATTTTGAAACTTTCTTTATGTCTTAATATATGATAAATTTGGTGAATGCACCATGTGTACTTGAGAAGAAGGTAGGTTGACTTTTAGTTGGGCACAGTAACCTGAACACATCCACAAGTTAGAACTGGCTGATTGTGGTTGCTTCCGCACCATGTCACTTCTGCCTGTGCCTAATATCTAATCAATTAGCTAGGTACTTGAATTAAAATTTTCATAGGGTGTCCTGGACTGGTCTCTTGCCTGGAGCACTAGACTGTGGCACCACTACCTGGTGGGGCTTGCCGCCTCTGGACCCTTGAATCTGCCACTTGAAGGACCTTACCCAGCTGCTTCAACATTCCCTTCTGCCATCTGAAAGATGGCATCAGTCCTTCACTTGTAAGACCAAGTCCCACTGCCTGGACACTATACTTTCTTCCTGGAATTCCTGCCCCTGCCACTTGAAAGTCCCTCCACCCCCGCCCCCCCCCACACACCTGGAAGCCCTGCCCCTGCCACCTGGAAGTCCTACTCCTGCCACCTGGAGGAACTCACCCCATTATTTGTACTCACAGCCTGGACACCCCAACACCAATGTCTGAAGGGCAACCTGCTGCTGCCCCTCTGAACTGCACCCGTGACATCAATACCACAGTTAAACTCATTTCCTTTTCTTTCTTTCCCAAAGCTTAAGCTAACTTCAGTCCAAAATACCTTGGACTGGCCTAGCTACATCAGCTGTTTGATAGAAGAGGCTGCTAATTCACAGGTTTTTTTTCCTCCCAAATGGAAACAAGTCTCCCCTTG